TTTTTTCCTTAAAAAACCGTTTTGAAGTTTCGAAATTTAAAAAATATTAGATGATGGCCAAAAAGGTGAAATATGTTGACCTTGCAACAAAGAGTTAATGCAATGTTGCCTGCTCAAAATCCCGTTACGCGTGGCTTCATATTAAAGTGCGCTACCGTCTAATTTTGTAGATAATTATTTTCGCACCTGGATGCGTATTTTAGATATGTGCACGATTAGAGGTATTTGAATCTTTATACCGGTAACGTACGGAATACATTTTCGGACACATGTTACATCGTACGTACGAGCATGTACATACAAACCAAAATGTTAAGTGATTAATTAACGGAAACTTCCAAGTTAAAAAAAATTTGGTAATAAACATGTGCAGAAAAATGTATATATTTGTTTTTTAGTCGTTGATTATGAATCTATTGTCAAATTTTCGAAATTTAAAATGATGGGTCCAATATGGCGGATCCAATTTGTCGAAAAATTTATAAATTTTTATAGAAAACAAAATCTAAGGGATTTTTAGGTCACTTATCACGAATCTGTAGTGAGATTTTCGAAATTGAAACTGACAGATCCAATATTGCGAACCAAAAAAATAAAAAAATTCATAAATTTCTGTAAAAATTAGAATCTAAAAATTTTTTGAGCCGCAAATTGCAAATCCATTATCAGTTACAATTGTTACATTTAATACCGTATTTTTTGTGTCACCACGACATTTCGTGTCACTGATTATGTATCCAATATAAAAAATTCAAAATTTAGAATGGTGGATCAAAAATATTATGTATTGAATTTGAAATGTGTTAAATTTGAAAAATGGGATAATCTTGCTGACAATATTTTTTTCTAACTCTAAAATAACTGATAATATGTTTACCCCAATAAAGATTACATTTTAAAAGCAATAAATGATTCATATGTAGATAACATATCCATAATTTGTTATAACATTATGGAAATTGGAAAAAAATTTTAATTTCCGGTCCGCCATATTGGATTCGCCATTTTGAATTTTGAAAATCTGATGTCAAATTCATAATCGAAGATCCAAGAAACCCCAACGGGAGAGTTTCAGCAAAAATGGTTTGCTAGAAAAATGCGTGCAACAAAGAGTTAATGCGATATCGAACGGTTATCGCTGCAAATATATCATTTTATCTACTATGCTCACCGTGTGAATCGCTTCACCATAGTCGTTATGAAATGATAATTGTCGCGTTTCTCATCACAATACGTACTGCTTTGCTGTAGCAAACTCGAAATAATATTGTTACGAAACGAGCATTATAGAGCCTTCTCTCTCGATTATGTTAATGGTACTTGTTGCGGCGACGTATTGTAGAAAATCGATTAATCACAAATTAATGTATTGTTGAATTCGTCATAAATTATTTCTAATTATTTTCTTTTTGTGTGTTTAAATTGTTACCGGCTTTCATTCCGCTTCGTTTTGTTTCGTTCTTTCATTTTCCCCCGTCTCAGCCTTCACTCTCTGTTCCCCCTCCTCCTCCTTCTCCCTCCCCTTTCTCCATTCTCTCTCTCTCTCTCTCTCTCTCTCTCTCTCTCTCTCTCTATGTACGTATACGCGTACGTATGTATATATTCCTATATATATAGAGAGTACAGGTTTATATTTTAGTTTTCCCTAAAATACGATCCACGTTTGAGCTGTCATTCTTATATGTACATTCAATCAGGTTACATACACACGATTACTTGGTTCATGTTTTCGCGCAGATATCGCACGTATACTTTATGCATCATATCGCTACCGAACACGCAACTACTGCATGGATTATGCAAAGTACTCACCGACGTTTTATTTGCACGCTTTCTTTCTTCCTTCAGATAGCAACAGTAACCACCCACCGGCCTCGCCTACGTTAATCTTATAAGAAACTTCTACGTAATCGTTTTAAAAGTGACTGCACGGACCGATTGTGCACGTTAAAATATGTATGTTGAAAATATATACGTTGGAAATTGCATAGTGTACCTCGAGAGCTTCTGTAGCGATTAAAATATTGATGAGAAATTGTTCCGCAAGGAAGACACATTCGCGCGCGCATACACACACATACACATTTTCCTACTCACACATATACACACAGTTATGCGCTTGATAATTCCTTCTCGACTGCTCAGGATGAAAATAAAACTCTCTTGCTATTTCATTTTAAATTTGTTTTACATCCTTCTCGTGTAGCTTTTACCGTTTCACGTGTTATTTATACAAAGCTTTCTGGAATTACTTTTACCTTATCGACTTAATGTTACTTGCACGCATCCAAGATTTCGTGAATATGAATGAAATACAATTCACACACACACACACAACGAAGTTTTACAGCCCGAAGCGCAAACTGTTTATAGTTTTAACACAATTACTGAACGATATGTCCCACAATCAGTCGCAACTTTTATATTGCGAAATCCACGTTCTTACTACAAAAGGTAAGTTAAAGTCGTGCGCAAATAATACGCGGAAACAAACAAAGAGAAAGAGACACAATCCTCCGACATTAATACTTGATCGATGTTGTAAGCTCCAGCTCTCGCAAAACTTTCCGCAAGCGCTATCACGACCTGAATAAAGCGTCGAGGTCACGTACACGATATAGCATACGTGTATTTGACTCTATGTAAATCTTCAAATACACAACGTCACGACATTTTCGTCAGATGTTTTCTTTGCGATTATATTATATGTAACGTTGCTATCATCACGAAATTCAGACAAATGTATAACAAGGAATGACAAAATTAATGCAAGATTATATACAAATACGATGTAACTATATTTGAAAACAAAAAAATATCACACACGCGTTGATTAAAATAAAATACTTATATATATTTATCCCATATATGAGAATATTAATTAAACTATTCCACAATTCAATTATACATCCAGGAAATATATCAAGCAATCTTTCACATTCGTTAACCGAAGCGTCATCGGAAATATAACGTTTTATTTGGTTTTCATTTCAGGGACAGCAAGAGTAGTCGAAAGATGATTGCAAAGTTAATTAAAAGTCTCCAATGGAAATCCTGCGTAAACTGGTGATAAAGGACACTGTGCAACGCGCTCGGTAAACTTACGAAATGAAAGTTATTGGAAATGCTTGGTACGAGAGCACGTGACGTTCTTCCCACAATCATGATTCTTCGAGCGCAGTCGTTCGTCTCTCTGACCTGTATTGTGCGAAACGTGCAGAGGAGGCGAAAGCGATATAAGAAATCGGACAAAAGTCTCTCTCTCTCTCTCTCTCTCATTGTTACAAACTAACTTGAATCCAGAGTTTAGGATAGTGGAACCTTGTCCTATATGCGACGGCGAGATATTCTTCTCGTTAATTCCGCGTTTACATTCGCGCTTTTTTTCTCCGTCGATGTAAAGAAGTGTCGCTTTCGTCAAACGACTCACTCTCGCGGTCACATAGGTCACGGGAACGTGTTCGTCATCACTACGGAAAATTGTCAGAGTAGCCTCGACATTTAAGAAGATACACAGAACATCCCCGGGAGAAAGAGCGTATGATCAAGTATGTTAATTTAGTCATAGTGATGCCCATCAGACGTGGAGCAGACGAGCATGGTACATCTATTAAATTAGCACGTTTGATTCCCTTATAGAAATATCATACTAAGAATCATTGATAATTACTTATTATCCAGTATTTTTAATATTGAAAATAAGTAATTATCAATGATTCTTAGTATGATATTTCTATAAGGGTTGTACATTCGAATGCATTTATTATACGAAAGTACTTGTTCAAACGAGTTGTTTGAACACATCCAATGGAATAGCGTATTTATTACTACCATGCAGGACTACTTAATATACTTGAATATACGCATACATAGCAAAAGAAACCTACTATGAAATACATATTTTTAAATTAATACTGCCTTGTAAATGCATATTTCAATTTTCTAATAGCGTAAAACTATTGAGAGACATGATACTTCCAAAATCTAATAAAAGCAAATAATAACCTAAAATGTAATTGTAACTTAAATATTATACTAACAAAAAAGTAAAAAGTGAAAAAATCAAAAGATAAAAAAATGGAAGTAATATAAATTATCGAAAAAATTTAAGGAATATTAATAAATAACACAATAAAGTGCAAATTTTTACATTCAAAAAAATATCACTTATAATCATTACCAAGAATAAATTACTTTTTACATTAAAGAAACTGCAATTATTTATTAGACAATAACATATGTATTCCCTCTCATATGAAAAATTAACCAAAATAAAAAGAGAAACGAATACTAAACATAATAAATATAATAAACAATAAAAAGAAATAGGAAATAATTTATCCCATTTTTTAAAAATTCTTCAGGCTGTTTTCTATTTTTGCAATTATCTATATTATCAGTATATCTCACATAATAAACGAAATTTTCACCGAATCAGGAAAATTAAAAATAGCAATTGAATGGTTAAATATTACTAATACAACTATATTGAAAGCATACACTGAGGATAAACATTATTGAATTTATCTTAAGGACTTTACGTAGTTTGTAAGCATGAATTAAAAAAGTTTATTTTCAATTTTTTAGAAAAAAATGATAAGATTCATATTATTTAACTTTTCTCTATATTTTTATTATGCTTTGAGATGAAGTTACATGAATATTTCAGAAGTGATTCCTACACATCCTGTCGCCCTTGGGAAAAACCACGATAATCTAGCCTTTTAGGCTTACAATTCTTACAATTCCATTTTAATATTTCGATTAGTCGCGTACCCTAAAATCTTTGAAAACCCTCGTGTAAGTTTTACAGGATTCACTTTTGGGTGCATATTAGTAAACTGCTCAGAATAGGGATTTCGATTGGTATAATTTCATTCTCCCTAGAAAACACGATAAAAATCTAAAGAATAACGCACGTTTATCTAGAGAATTATCCTGTTCGAAATCCATTCCGAACGAAATTCCATAATACATTCCCTAATTTGACTAGAGCTCACCTTTGCACATGTGGTAGTACTAGTTGAGAGGTGTGTTTACAAGCCTCTACACAGTTGCGACGCATCTTTCGTATTTTTTCACGTAACTCTGGACTGTCGCGCGGTTGTCCGATATTAATAAGCAAATCTCGAAACTGTGCCACCTGGCTGTTTATGTCTTGAATTTGCTGGAAAGCAAAAGTGTAAAATTCAGCAGTTGACTTCATCGATTAATGGTGAGAATAGTGGAAACGCCGAATGAACCTCAACGCGAAATATATATATACATGTGTAAATATTGTTTTCGTTATTCGCCATTATACTATATTTCGCCCCTCATTCGGACAATTTCCCTCGTTTATACTCATTTAAATAGCGAATAATGATATGTTTATGATACATTCACGAAGTTCGACGCTTATTTGATATTTCGAAAAACATTATTAAGTAACTTCAGCGATGCGTGTTGGTTTTATTGCTGATAATATATTAAAATTAATCATATCACGAGTAATTAACACTTGACCTGATCCACAAACAGGATGACATGAAAATTAAAAAGTAACTTCACGATAATCATTTTGAATCTAGCTGCAATTATTTAAACGAAATCTTATTACACATATTATTCTCGACTGACAATAAATCGCGGGTAACAATTTCTTGGCATCGATCATTTCATACATGCACTCACGGCCCGTTTCATAAAAAAAAAATAACGAAATGTAAGCCCCTCCTTTGAATCGCAAAGCAATTAAAAAAGAAAATAAAGACATTATATATCCTATCAAATATAATATATATAATTATATATCCTATCAAAGATCTCGCGATGACATGAAAAATGGTTACAAGTGTATGAAAGTTAAATTTATATCAACAGATAGTTGACGGACAGTCATATCTCTGACGCGATACACGCATTAATGTTAAATCGCTTACTAATAACACTGATTTATCGGGTTTCTCGGGCTTGTCACATTTATCGTCGTGATGTCTGCTGGTTGAAGGTGTCGGCGAATCCGTCATCATCTGATCTTGTTACGAACAATTTCCTCGCCAATCGTCACTCGACACAACGATAAGTTCTGCGAACATTTCTGGTAGTCCGGGAACGCAAAAAATACACCGGAAGTCAACCCCGAGCACACGATCTTCACGATCGCGCACTGCGAACCAATAATCGCCACAAAGTGCACTTCGCACGCATTCCCGCCATGTGATCCTCTTTTCTTTCTATTTTTTCTTCTCTTTTTTTTTTGTCGCGCGCCGGTTATTTTTATGCGATCAATCTCGGTTCACTTAAAGCTGGTTGATAATAGGCTTATCGTTCTCTCAGCTTGGCAGCATAGTCATTTCTCGGTTACTGAAGCAGAGCAGTTGCCGCAGCATGTTCGACCTTTTCTTCTTGTATACTCTTTAAAGACTCATGCGGTATATTCCAATAGAACGCATGACAGAGCGTAATGATAACTTTCTCCATGAGATTTTAATTCTATTTTATTGAAACTGGTGTAGCGATCGCGATCGTGATCGTAGCATCGCGCCTTTGAAAAATTTTGCAAGAGAACGATCAACGCGGTTTATTTCTTCATTCAATACGAGTGAGATTCTATTCACAGGATAATAAATATTACGTGTGCTAAATATATGTCGCAATTTTATCGTGAGTTAGATTACGCGCGCGAATCACTATCGCGTGTTTGGTCATTTAAAAAAAAAATTCTGATGAATCTATCGTAACGATCTCGTGATCTGCGAGTCTTCAGTGATATTCGGCCGAGCGTACCTTCGCGAGATCTGATATCAAGTCAGTAGAGAAGCGGGTATGAATCTCACGGGTTGGGGTTTAAAGCGCCAAAGGCGATTCGTGAGTAACAGCGTCGCGCAAGACTTCGTTGTGACACATCGTGATCTTTCTAAAATGATCGCCAAAAATGTTTTGCACTGCCGAAGATTCCAGTTATATGTTCTACACGCTCTTGCACACGCTCTCTTTCTCTCTCTCTTTCTCTCTCTCTCTCTCCCTCTCACTCTCGCGTTTTCTCGTTCTCTCTTTCTCTTTCTCTCGCCCTCTTCCTTCCTTTCTCACTCTCGTTCTGTCACTCTCTCTTTCTCTCTCTCTCTCTTCCCTTTCTTCCCTGCCTTCTTACTGCTAACTCGCTCACTCACTTGCTCTCATTCGCTCTCGCCCTTTCTCTCAACCTCTCTTTCCCTTCTGTCACTGTGGCTCATCGCGACACCCACAATTGAACACCGGGCGAGCCGAGCCGAACTGCAATGAGCAGTATGTATGCGCGACGTAGCAACACACGCGACAGACTGAAACGTGGATTTTGCTCTCAAGCTATTTCACTGGCGCGCGCCACCCTGCAGACGCGCATGCCTGATTCAGTACGGATCCTACTACTGCGACTAGCCTGATGAAACCCGTCTGCGTTTCGTAACCTTACAATATATAAATATGTGATCTACGCTTTTATTTGATAATGTTGCTCATAAGTAATACAATTCTTTTACATATTCTATACACCTTTGTTATCATTTGTGCTTAACGTACACTATCAATTCATGATATTTAATTGTTTTTTAGATTATACAGAATGGATTATACGCACGCACGCATATACACACACACAAAATATATTGTAGACTAATATCTCGAAAGAAATGCGTTACTCGGAAAAATGTTCCAAATGAAAATTGTAAGATTTTGAGAACGGCATAAAATAGTAATAATTAATACTATATGATAATTAATGCAGCATAAATTTTCAAAGAACGTTCTAAGAATATTCTAAGAACACTCATACATTCTAAGAACGTTCCAAAATATTCTCTGAAGATTTTGTGCTGTCTAGGAAATGTTTCTTTTACGATTATTTCAAAGTCAACTTTGTATATGTTTTAAATAAAACTATATATTTTTTTTTAATATACATCAACTTTTTAAGTTATTCTGTGTATAAAAGTATTAAAATATAATTAGAGTTGAAAACGTTTTACTTCAAAAAGGTATCGCGTTACATTTATCGTTACTTTTCCTAAAAAATAGCTTTCCACATAACATTAAGACGTCTTAAAGACGTCATAAAGAAGTCTTAAACATTTTTTGATGTCTTAAAAATTATCAGAAAGATATCTTTATGACGTCTTTAAAACGTCTTATGGATCGATTTAAGACGTCATATAGACATTGTTTTAAGATGTCTTTCAAACGTTATTTTTAGATGTTCTAAGGATATTGTTTTAAGACGTCCTAAAAACGTCTTGTTTAAGACTATTTTTAGACCATTACATATGTTATTATAGACTTTTATAATTATATACACATTAAAAAGGGAAGATTTTATTTATTTTATTTATTTATTTTCGTTTATTTGCTGCAGTCGGTTGAGAATTATGATTAGACTGTGTATTCACTCATCCGTTCTGCTCAGGGTTAGGTATTAATGACAGCTAACGGACAATGATAATATTAGCTATACTAGCGTACACATTAAATTTTAAAACGTTTGCTGCCTAATAGTAATATTTGTTAGTACATTATTTAACATTTAAGGGGGATAAACACTGTGTCGTAAAAAGAAATCGACTTTTTTTACATTTTCTTAAAGTATAACATGTGGTGAATAGCCTCCTAAAATAATTATGCTGAAATTCGTAAAAATACCAGAACTACCCTTATAGAAATATCATACTAAGAATCATTGATAATTACTTATTATTCAGTATTTTTAATACTGGAAATAAGTAATTATCAATGATTCTTAGTATGATATTTCTATAAGGGTACAGCCGTTTCTGTTGCGCGTTGTACGGGGTTTGGTTCAAAGCCATACCGAGGTCAAGAAATAATTAAAAAAGAATGCGTCAATCATGTAAAAAATATGGGAAGTCGATTGCACAATTTAAAAAGAAATAATAAAAAGCTCGGTGGAAAAAGCAAGCTTACAGACAAACACTGTGATTGACACAGACAAAGTAATTAGTGAATTGTGTAATTATTACGGTAAAGCTATTTGTAACAATACGAACTCTGTAGGCAACACGCGAAAAAATATTTGGGTTATTCTTAACCATAAAAGTTTATCCGACGACATATCGAATCGCGGCAACTGTCCAGAAAGAGAAAATTCGTGGTGCACTTGGCAACGCGCGAAAGCTACAAATTAGTTATAAAATTATCGTTATAAAAACCGTTACACGAAGCTGTCGTTAAGGCAATTACTTCAATATATGAAGATTTGAGCAGAACTGATTTGTTAGAGCGCTGTTTGAATGGTTACACGCAAAATAATAACAAAAGTTTCAACGCTCTCGTATAGAAGTTTGCTTCCAAAACAACGTCTAGCCATGCTGAAGCCATTAAAACAGCTTTATACTTAACTGCATGCTTAATTAACGATGGCATTGAGATTTTATTAAATATTTTAACAATCTTGGAAGTAAAAATCGGAACGATATTGGCTGAATACTGCCGAACGCAGGATTCCCGTCGCAATGCTGTAGTGAACGGACGTACATACGGTATGATGTTTGATGGAGATTCCTCCGTTAGCAGTAGGAGAAAATGAGTTAGCACTTCCCGAAATGCATAAAGTGATGCACATTATGGCCCTGGATTTGATAAATTATAGTATATTTATATTAAACAAACGTATTTATTAACAAAACCGTATTTAAAATTTTAAACGCGTTTTTCTCGAAATTATATTTTCACAACTGATATTGCACTTTTCTCAGCCAATTTACATCCAAATAACTTGCAATTTCGACAAAATATTTTTAAACATAATATCTTCAGTCAAGCGTACGCCGTGGATATTTTTTACGATTTAAATTTCCCAAAAAAATGTCAAAAGAAGGGTATTTTCTTGGGCCGATTTTAGAATATTTTCTTTAAACGTACGCATTTTGCGAATAATTAAAATATTAAAATTTCCGTACACTTAACTAAAACTACATCTCTATACTTTAAGAAAATCTTGGGTTTTTTTATTTTAGATGAAGGACTTCAGGTGCAGGGCCGATGGAGCTTGCGCGGCATGCAAGGCATACTACAGACACATTTTATATTAAAATAAACATGAATTTCATCAAATTGAAAAATATTTTTCAACAGTTTAAAAGATGACTAATTGAATGCAAAAATATTAATTTATCTATCTGCTTTATGGGCATCACAAAATATTCGCTAAAAAGAGCTATTTTTCCGGTCGTCACAGTGTTTATCCCCATTAAATACATTACAATCGTTATTTGCCTTAGCAACGTGTATAAATCTCATAATCAGTAATATAGACAGTTATACATCTCTTTAATAAAAAGTACGTTATCGTGAATTTATTTTACATCGAAGCGTTGAAGCCTCTTTTCCGCGATACTGATTTGACTATCTCGACCGTCTCGATTGACTTAAGGGGGGG